AGCAGTCAATATCTGACTCACGCAAGCGTAACATTAAAGTCCCCACCCACCACAAGCTTAGGTTCATTATCTTAAACAACGTCATCGATTGTAGAATTCAGATTTTCAATAAAACAGCACTGTTCTCTCCCTGAACCTTGTTAGGAACATAAACGTTTACCAATAAGGAATCTGCTCTTTGCACTTCAGCTTCTAATACAATATAGCGACCTTCATCGTCCGTCCTAATCGAAATTAAGTTGAGATCTAAATCACCTCTAACCAGAACCATTACCCCACAACTATGACAAGTACAATGTGAAAAGATAAGCTTACCCTGCCATTGTGTTCTCCAGATATCTTCAACTTCTGCTGTACTGTTGGTTTCTTGTAAAACAAATAATATCCGATTTCTGTTCTTTAAACCACATAAAAACGGCTTTTCTCTTCTTAGCGGAGCGAATCTCTCGAACATTCAAGGATTTATAGTTTAAAATCAGTATAATCCTTACTATCGTAACGTTGTTGACAACTCCAGAAAATACCATAACATACCACGATGCTCTTTGTTTGTCGGCTCAAAATTTTGCATAAGCATTGTTTTCAGTTTCTCGTGGGGCCATTTTAACTTCCAAGAGAAACTGAAGGCAATACTTATGCAAAATTTTGGGGTGACAAACAAAGAGCATTATGGTATGTTACGGTATTTTCTGGAGCGGTCAATTACCTAATCTTGAGATGACAAGTGACACACGAGAAATACATAAATTAACAACGAAAGGAATAATGGCACAACGTACTGTCTAAAACTGCAAACATTTACCACAATCAACAATAGGATATAATGGCTGCCGATAATACTATCTAACAAGCCGCCTATGAGATTTGGTACCACTAATAGCATATGCAAAAAGTGCTCCCGCGGTATGAATCAAATAGGTTTTACTAAATAGAGTTTAATATCAGATTATGACCCACAGATTAAAAATGAGGAGAAAAAAAAAACATTATGAAGCAACGAAAGGTCCCTCAATAAATAAATTGTCCGGCTCTTTTCTACTAATGTAGGCAATTTCACCCTCCTCTCCTACACGCTTTAACCGTGGCCATTGCTTCTTCCGATTTTCTTGTATCTCCTTAGGTAGATCTGCATACACTTTAACATCGATCTCATCCTGTGCTTCCAAAGTAGCTTTAAAGATCCGTTTCCAATCAGGATATCTAAGGAACCGTGCGATGATGGAGCTCGAGGTGCCTGCTTTTTTCCTTCCGAGGCGATGAACTCTCTGAAACTCGATATTATGAGCCCCTTCGATATCGAGATCTCATTCCAAGATACAGTACAACACTTCGCTTCAGTCTTCAATTGTGGACTCTGTACTTTCAGGAAGGCCAAAAAATCGTAAATTCTTTCTGCGGTTGTAGACCTCCTCATAGAGGAGACGCTCTTTTAGGGATACGATACTTTGTTGGTTATTCCTGCTTTGTGTTTTGAGATCCTCAACTTCGGCATTTGCATATTGTAAACCTGTATCCATTTTCTCTCAATCTGGTTTCTGCCGAGTCAGCTCTGAGCTTGAGCGACGACACTTCTGATTAAATGTTGGTCATCGTCTTTAGTCTAGACCAGCCACGTTAGCCATAACACTTTCAATTTTTTTGGCCATCTCGCTGAGCTTGTCTAGAACTTGTTGCAGCTTCACTCCTATGTCCTTCGACATATCCAAGGCCACGAATATCTCATTTGTTTCGTTTGGTTCTTGGCTACAAACTCTTTTTCCTTGCGGTGAAATGTCACTGTCCGAACTACTACTTCCCCTTTCCTTCAGTTTAAATCTACTTAAAATGTCATCCATATAAACGTATCGAGGCAAAAGGAAGAAGATTAAAGAGTAAATTTGCGGGAGCGATATTCCAACGTCTTCACTCCTCCATAGCCGACCCAGATCCATGCATTATGCATTATACCCAAATCGAAATGACGGAAAGTATGTCCACTCCAACGAAGATTTCTGCAAGAAATCCAGTTTGCAGGTTATGTGGCGGTACTCATGATAGTCGCTATATGCTTCGAGTACTCAGCAAGGCCGGTTTATCGAAAGTTTATAAAACCTGTGGTATAAAAATTTCTGAGGACGATACGAGGTCAGCAGTGTTATGTAGGAGTGGCGTTACATTCGTAGACAAAATGGATCAGTTTATTCGGAGAGCTCAATCTGTAGACAATAAGCCGTCTGATAAACTCTGAATATTCTGTTAAGCGATGTATTCAACTTTCACAGTCTTTGCATCAGCCGTCGAAGCATCTATCAAAGGATACAGGATATGCCACCCGAAAGCTTCGATGTGGATGAGCTGCAATAAAAGGGGGTGATAGGCCTACACGACTCTTACCTCAGGCCAGAATGCTCCTTGTTCCAATAAGCTTTTTTCCTCTGCTGGGTAGATTATGTTCTGAAAGGTTCAACATTTTCTCTGAGCAAACGTGATATAAGCCACTTGTTTCACACTGAGGGTTCATGGCATACATATCGATTTACTGTGTTTTTTGTTCCTGGTCGGCAGGTTTTGCCCTCTAATTAGACTGCGAGCAGTCCCTCTTTTTTCTTGGTCCATTGAGCAAAACGCGCGAGGCACGCAAATGACCACGCGGGTTACTGAAGGCGCGAGACGCGCATGCACTCCCCTCACTAAATCTGAAGAAAAAGAGAGACTGCTCGCAGTCTACCGTCTGATGCAAGAGTTTTTTTTTTACCTCTTTCCAAGCGTAAAGCTTTTTCTTACGGTTGAATAAGGGTTCTTGACTAATGCTTTCCAAAGTGCCTTTTAGATCTGAATAACTAAGCGACTTTCTTTAGTCCGTGAATGTAATGTTTTTTCTGCAATGTTGTATCACGCTGGGTCCAGCTTGTTAGGTTTCTTTCCAGGGCCGAGTTGTTCGAACCTGGGATAAGATAACCCAGGGTTAGTGCGAGATTTGAATTCAGTTTTGGAAGCTTAAAAAGCATTTCAGTTTTAATTCTTTTTGTCTACAAGTTGATGATTGGAAGCTCTAAAACTAGCAGAGAAAGTTATCCGAGAAAATGCTTTTGAACACAAGAAAAAGAAACCCGGGTTAAATTTAACCCCGGGTTAAGTGCTAATCGGCTTTCGAACAACTGGGCCCAGGATGTTAGATTATCACGGATAGTGATTTACAGACCCAAAATTAAAAGAATGAAGTGCAGCTTAAACTGAAGCTACATCAACTATGGAGAATTGCATTGTGACTTAGTAGACTCCAGCCTAGTGTTTTTCTAAAGATAATATGAGTCTTTTGACTGGAGCGCGTATTTCCTCCGATCTCGCCAGCACTTCCGAACCTTTTGTTATTACAAGTCTGTATACACCAGTCTGTACACACCACAATTAACAATTATTCATTTGAAATCGAGGTGAATAGTGGCTGATTATTTAAATATTCCTAAAGCCACTATTCACCAAGATTGAAAAGAAAAATTGTGTTAGTATATACACACGAAGTGATCTCAACAAAATCAGAGAGGAAACCATTAAAAAGTACGATTTTATTGACGGATCAAATCACGCTTAAGTTTAAAAATAGATCTTTGAAGAATTTTCAAACATGGCAATTCACAATTAAGATTATCACTTCGCAAACAACAGCGTAATGGCTTAATTGAATTGTTTCCTTACCTGAGAAGAAAAGTAGGAGTTTGTTGTTTTCTGTTGACTTGCCAAGTTTATGGCCAAAAAGGTTTGTTGTGTCGTTCTTCGTATGAAGTGCTGACAAAATTGGCGGCTAGGTTTCTCGAGGTAAGGCGTCGTCTTTCCGTAGCATTCTTTTTCCTATAATTTACTTAAAACGAAGAATTTCTTCAAAACTTTGCTTTCAAATTTATTTGTCCTATATAAACTTCGATTTTTGGGCCAAATGATTCTTGTTAGGAAACGGTGAGTTCACCAAACGGCCTCTTCTACGCGAATAAACGGGAGTTGTAAATAATCCATCGAGCACAAAACTCAGCTAAGGTAAATGGAGAAACGCCGTTTTGAATCCTCTGAAGTCTTTTCTTGCCTTAAAAAAAGTCAACTCTAGGATTTTGTCGACTTTTAAAAGTTCATTCTCTACAAAAATGGGAAAAACACCGAGCTCACACACTATCCCCTCGCTAGGAGGTGAATATTTAACAATTATTCCTTGAGTCCCAGTGGACTCTGAGTTAGTAGCCCATGAGGCCGAAGGCCGAATGGGCTATTGACTCAGAGTCCATGAGGGCGGGAGGAGTAATTGTTTTAGTAAAATCAAACTAGTTGGTCAAAAATATCGAGACAAAACAACTTTAGCTAGCAAAACGCGATTCAGCCGCCATTGTTTTGGTTTTTAAAGCCGGCACTTTTCCCTACTAGTGGGCTACAACATATAGCCTAGTATTAGCTCAACCAATCAGAGTGCAGCATTGATAATAGCCCACTAGTTTGATTTTACTAATGTTGAATAGTCCGAGATAGCGAACTAATCAGATTGCTTAAATGCATAATGATGAGTATAAATGAGTATAAATGTATAATGATGAGTAGCCACGGCTACCATCGCTCTGTTACTTTTGTTCTGTTTTTCCTTTATTTTGGTTCCACTGGTTTTCCTAGTGTTATCAAACTATCTCTAACCTCTGGGAGTAAAACTTGGAGCGATTCTCTTCCAGAACGACCATCACTTTCGCTGAAAATCCTGATTTCGAAATCGGGTTGGAGCTGAATTCACTTTTTGAATTTTGTACTGCTTATTCTACGAACAATAGAGCGAATTCCTCGACACGAATGTGCCAGCATTCTTTTAGATCATTTGAATGTATGGACGTTGCATTGTAAATCTTAAATCTATCCGTGTTTTGGTAGTGTATCGTCCGTCGAGGACTGGTGCCGCAATTGGCTTGTTCTTTGAGGAGATTTCTAGTTTGCTGGAAGAAGTTGTTGTTTGCTCAGTAGAGCTACTCATCATTGGCGACTTTAACTTCCACATGGACGATACAGCTGACAGATATGCCGTACAGTTTGGCAGTTTATTGGAGTTGTTTAACCTGAAACAACATGTGACTGTTCGCACCTATACGAGTGGTCATATTTTAGACCTTGTTATCTCTAGGAAGGACGCGGAGGCTTTGAAGGTCAATGAACTTGTTGTAATGGAGCAGTTAAAGGGGCTGTGTCACGGCAGTCCAGTTCATTTTGTTAAATTTTGCCAATTACTCTCCCTCAATCGCTATGGAACTTAAAATAAGCAAAGAAATTACATGTAAATGACAAAATCAAAGATCCGTGACAAACAAATATGTCTCCTGGGCATTATTTTTGAAATTGCAAACAGCAGGGATCATTTTTGAAAAACTGTTGGGTTGAACAGTTTTCAAAAACCCTAACTTCAATCCGTTTCAATCTTCTTCAGTTTTGCCCATCCGTGGCATCTGTTGTTTCTGTTATGTTATTTTAACCTTCCTTTAAAGTTTTAAGCGGTTATTTTTAGGTTTCTATTAATTTAACGGGCATTTTGTAATTTCCTAATTTGGCTGAATTTCGCCGTGACACAGCTCCTTTAATTTCCGACCATAAAGCTATTTGCTTTCAGCTGAATCTTCAGAAACCGCTAAATGAACGAAAGTCTGTTGTTAGCCGCCGGCTCAGGAACTTTGATTTTGAGGCCTTCAATGAGATGATCATCTCTTCAGGCCTGCTAGCAGATGTCAGTGATCTCTCCCTGGAGTTGATGGTTGACAGGTATATATGATAACGTCTTGCGTGACATATTGGCTCCGGTGAAATCTCGGACCCTCGTCCTTCGTTCAAACGCCCCCTGGTATAACGAGGACATTGGCAATGAGAAGAAGAAGAGGCGCAGGTTACAGCACAGGTGGCGCTCTAGCCGTCTTGATTCGGACAGATTGAGCTACATAGAGCAATGTAGTGTTGTGAATACAATGCAATACAAAGCCAAGGAATTCCATTATTCGTCGGTTATCTGTAACAACGCCCACGACACTAGGCTTTTCTTTCGATCTATAGATAAGTTACTGCGAAGGCAAACTGAGAAGCATTATCCTTCCGCAGATAATGATCAACAACTTGCTAATGATTTTGCAGATTTTTTCACTGCCAAGATAGAAAGGATTCGTGAAGATCTTGCACTTAGGAAAAGTGGACTTGTTCATTCCCCTGGGCTGGCCAAGCCGGCCTGCCTGTCACAGTTAAGTGAGTTTGATTTGGTCACTGATGATGACGTCTTGAAACTGATCAGAGGTTCCACTATCAAGGCTTGTAAAATTGACCCCCTACCTGCCAGCAACCATAATGCGAAGTTGCTATTCGGCTCTTGTCCCGGTATTCAAAACGGTAATAAATCTGTCGCTGTCGACTGGATCGATGCCAGAGGATCGTAAGATTGCTTCGTTGCGTCCGCTACTGAAGAAACCGACTGCTGACTGTGAGCAATTTTCCAACTTCCGCCCGGTGTCCAATTTGAAGTTTCTTTTAAAATTGGTAGAGAAGACTGTATTTGTGCAGTTGAATAATTATCTTACGGTAAATGGCTTGCACGAAAGCTTTCAATCTGCGTACAAAGCGCGCCACAGTACAGAGACCGCACTGCTAACGATCACAGATGACATCTTACCGTCATTGGACAGGGGGAGGGGGAGGGGCAATGTGTTTCTATTGCTATTGGACTTGTCTGCAGCATTTGATACAGTTAATCATTCTTTGCTACTTTCGCGTCTGGAGAACTCGTTTGGCATCACGGGAACTGTTCTGCAGTGGTTTCATTCTTATCTGACTGTCCGATCTCAATTTGTCGAAATTAATGATACAAAATCGTCGGTAAGGGATCTGACTGTGGACGTTCCGCGGGGCTCTGTTCTAGGTCCCATTTTGTATCTATTGTACACTGCACCACTTGCTGAGATAATACGAAGTCATGGTCTCGTTTATCATTTCTATGCTGATGATACTCAGCTCTACATATCGTTCAAGGATTGTGATGTCGATGTTGCAAGGCTGCGTGTAGAGAACTGTGTTGCTGATATGTCATTGGATGGACTTAAACGAGCTGAAACTCAATCACGACAAAACAGAAATTATGCTTATTTACTCGAAGTACCATACTCGTCCACCCTTCAGCTACTTCAGTATCGGTAATGAGAGGCTGGCAACCACCGCCAAAGCTAGGAGTCTGGGAGTAGTACTTGATGACAACATGTTACTCGACGTGCACGTCTCAGACATTTGTAGATCATCGTTTAACCAGCTTAGGAACTTATCAAAGATTAGAAAATATCTCACACGGGAGTCTAGTGAAATTGCTGTGCATGCTTTCATAACATCTAAACTAGACTATTGCAATTCCTTACTCTACGGCTGTAGGAAAACGCAGTTGAAGAATAATCACATTACGCCTGTCTTATTTGACCTTCACTGGCTTCCAGTTAGTTATCGTATTGTTTTTAAAATTCTTCTGCTAGTTTTCAAATCACTTAACAAGCTTTCCCCTAGCTTTCTGGCGGACAGACTGAGTTATCAATCGCATTCAAGGGTCTTGCGGTCCGCGTCTAAGCAGCTGTTAGACCAACCCCGATCAATCACGAAAACTTACGGGGACAAGGCTTTTTCAGTGTGTGATGCTTGTGATATGTAAATTATTTCATTTCCCCCTTTTTTTACATTGTAGCGCGCCATGAGCTCAGGATATGAGCGCTATATAAATAAAGTTATTATTATTATTATTATTATTATTATTATTAGCGGAGCTCCTCGCGCGCGCGAAGCGCGCGCAGAGCGGAGCACCATGGGTAAGAAAATTTGGTAAACTATCCATCTGAGAAAATTTGGTTATGACGTAGCGTACGCCCGCCCGCCCACCCGTACACACGCTTCATGTAAGCGGATGTCAAATGTCACAATAGATCTTGCACAACTCGACTAGCCTCTTAGTTATGTAAGCCATCCGTATGAGTACGATTAGATTAACAGCTGTCAAAATTAGACATCCGCTGACAACTATCACATGACTATCTCGCGGGCTCGGATGAAAGACCAGTCGTTTTGCCCCTACATATAAGCTGATATAATATGTCACACTTACCAATTCAACATAAAAACAAAACTACGCCGGGCAAGGCTGTCAGTTGGCTGACAGTCGTTTAAAGATATATTGGCAAGCCAAATTAAGGTCAATTGACAGCTGTCAAAATGGGACATGTGCAGACCACTATCAGAAAACTAATAACGTGGGCTCAGGTTCGCTTAGGTACACGATCTGGCATTTTCCACTACATGCCGGACGGAGAAGTCTTACTCTCACTCGTAGTCTGTTAATTCGAATATTCGCCATTCTAATGAAGGTTAATTGACAGCTGTCAAACTAGAGTATACGCTGACCATCATCACCTGAGTGTATCGCGGGCTCATTTTTTCTATCCATTGAGGTCACGTAGTGTTTAAAGTTTTGCTCTGATATTTTATTTGATCACAGGCTCAATTCGAAGTGCCATAGCTTAGAAAATCGATCCATCTTAGAAAATTCGGCAATCACGTGACCATACACCGACCACCCGACCTTCCGTCCGTCCGCACCACAGGTAAACCAATGTTTAATCTCACACTTTCAAGCTAGTTTGGGAGCCTGCAACCTGATATTGTACATCCATGTTTTGATTAATTGACAGCTGTCAAAATAGTGTTTCTGCTGACCAGTATCGCCTGACCCTATCGCGGGCTCAGGTATCGACCCACTGAGTTCGAGTGTTTTTTTTAACGTATCCGCTGACAGGTTGCTACTTTTCAATTATCGCAGGCTCAAGTTCAATTTTTTTAAAAAGCATATGAAATAAGTCGAGTTCATGAGCCGCACTTTTAAAATATTGATTTCGAACTGACCTCGGACGCGAAAATTCAACCGGCTTTTACATTTACATGCGGGGAATCTGCGGGGAAGGCAATCACTTTTGACTGTTCTTACTGTCACGCGTTGATCACGCTCTACGTACAATTTTTATGTTCTGATTGGTCAAAATTTGACAGGTGAGTTCACGCGGAAAATTTATGCAGCGTCTGGAAACTTGCTTACTGATAGCTGGAGCTTACAGAGTTTTGTGTCATCTTGTGATGTTTTAAACTGGCTTTTTCTACTTGGTGTACACAACGAAATACAGCTGCTATCAAGATTGTTCTGTAATTCATGGTTGGTTTGTTTATTGCGCTTTTTGTTGACAAATGCACCGTTTATCAAAGTCATTGGAAATCCGATTTCGGATGGCATCGTTTTCAAAAATGAGCTTACTCACTTGCCCTTGCTTGAGGCGTAAGAGGGTTGAAAATTCTGGAACACTTGATGACCTTCAGAAGCAGCATCTCGACTGGTAAGCCTGAGAAATTGTTGTCTTTGATGTTTTTTTTTTTTTTTCGGTTTCCTGAAGTCGAGCGTATGATTTATGTGGCTTAAGTTTATACACGAGCGATGATCTAACCTACAATAGTATCAGGTTTAAAAAGCCTTTAGACATTTTTTGGACCGCAAATTCAAAGAAAATGTTCCGAAGATTATTTACTTATGATTTTGGCTGTAAACAGAAAGCTCTGAGCGATTTTCTTGCCTCGAGTTCATCTTGAAAAAGAGCAAACACCGGGAGGCCGGCTTAAAACATAAATAAGCTTATGCTTACCTGACTCATGATTTTCAAAGACACTTTACTCTCACTACTTCTCTTCGTGAATGAAAATTATTGTCTCTGTACATGTTTCACCGAATTATATTTATTTTATTGATTGTTAGTAGTCCCTCTCGCAATTTTTATCGCTGCACCGGTTGATCCAGTCGAACATAAACATCTCATGCAGGAATACTCAAAACGCCGCGCGTAAATATCACTCGCTTTTAAAGATTACACATACCAAAACCATACGCAGTTTAATAAATAAAGGGAAATAAAACCTAAACATAACAATTTATCTATCATGTTGAAGCGTAAATGGT